ATTTGGGGCTGAGCACAGTGGCTCATGCTTGTAGTCCCAGCACTTTGGGAGGCCAAGGCAGGCGGATCACCTGAGGTCAGGATTTTGAGACCACCCTGCCCAACACGGTGAAACCCTGTCTCTACTAAAAAAACAAAATTAGTCGGGTGTGGTGGCCAGTGCCTATAATCCCAGCTACTTGGGAGGCTGAGGCAGGAGAACTGCTGGAACCTGGGAGGCAGAGGCTGCAGTGAGCCGAGATCACACCAAACTCCAGCCTGGGCAACAAAGTGAGACTCCATCTAAAAAATAAGAAAATAAACAAAAAATAAATGAATTAATTAAAATTTGGCAGCTCTGAGTCTGTTCCCAAAATGTAAGGCATGATACCCAGGTGATGTGCACGTGGGCATGCAGCCTGCTCTTCTCTCTGCTTTTGAATGTTTGAAACTATTCACTTAACGTGTGTTTTTAAAATAATTTAATTTTTGTGGGTATATAGCAGGTATATATATTTATGGGGTTGTTTTTTTAGAAAGTCTAGATAAGGCCGGGCACGGTGGCTCACGCCTGTAATCCTAGCACTTTGGGAGGCCGAGGTGGGTGGATCACCTGAGGTCAGGAGTTCAAGACCAGCCTGGCCATCAGTGAAATCCAGACATTTTAGGATAGAGAGGTCAATCTGTGTAGAATGCAAAGCTTCTAAGTCATTCCTCTGCTTAAAGCCTGTAAGTAGCTCCCCACATGTCTCTCAGGGGACAGACTGAGCTAGATACCTCCTCCTCCAGGAAGTCCTCCCTGACTTCAACATGCTGGTTAGGTTAGAAGCAAACCATAATTGGAGACCTTAGGAGCCCACTTACATTGGGCAAGGTATTATATTATTTCATGACAATGTATACGGTCCTGTGACCCACCCCAGAGTCACGGATGGAGGACTCTGGTGCAGATACTGGCAAATCCTTTGATGATGAGTGAGTATAGGGATGCAAGGGTTGGTGGGGGGCTGGGCCCTCCTTGGGTTCCCCAGCAAGGAAGGATGGATGGGAGCCCAACCCTGGCTGCTACCTCCTGCTCATGGCTCAGCCTCCCTCTCAGGCACCAGCCAGTCCCAGGGCTCTTAGTTTGGCTCTTCCCTGGGCTCCTTAGTCCAGCTCCGAGCCGCCCCTCTGGCCCTGTGCCATCCCTGGTGCTCCCTGCTCTTGCTCCCAGCTGTCCTTTCTAGAGTACGGCAGCCCTTCTCCTGCCCAGAAGCTTTCCTTGGCTCCCACGGTCTGAGCATAAACCTAGGTTCCTCTACCTGGTTCCAAAGCCTCCGTGACTCCTTCTGCGCCTGCTTCCCGTGCCCTTGCCCAGATCGGAGATTGGCCCTGGCTGCTTGCCACAGGGTGTGTTCCCTCCACTGTGCTGCCTCGGCCCCTCCTCTTGGCATGCCCACTCCCGCCCTGCCCAGGCGATCGGCCTGTGTTTCCCCTCCCTAACCCTGCACTGACCACACCTCCCAGGCTGGCTTCTGTCTTGACTATTTCCTCCTCGCCTCTCTGAGCAGCAGGGTCAAGGTGAGAAATGCCTGCTCTGTCTATAGCCGCCCCAGAAGCACAGTACCTTCCACGGCACAGACACAGACTCGTAGGTACACTTGTCCCTCTGTATCCACGGGGGACTGCTTCTGGGACCCCCACGGATTCTCAAGTCCCTTACATAAAATGGTTTAGTACAGTTCACAACAGAGATGTCTTCTGAGAAATGCATTGCTAGGCAATTTCATCCTTTGCAAACATCACAGGTGCACTTAGCACAAGCCTAGATGGTCTAGTCTACTACACACCTGGGCTGTATGGGATAGCCTACAGCTCCTAGGCTACATACCCATACAGCACGTTACTGTGCCAAATACTGGAAGCAGCCGTGACACAATGGTAAATATTTGTGTATCTAAACATAGAAAATGTCCAGTATGGCCAGGCGCAGTGGCTCACGCCTGTAATCCCAGCACTTTGGGAGGCCGAGGCAGGTGGATCACGAGGTCAAGAGATGGAGACCATCCTGGCCAACATGGTGAAACCCCGTCTCTACTAAATATACAAAGATTAGCTAGGCATGGTGGCGCGCGCCTGCAGTCCCAGCTACTCAGGAGGCTTAGGCAGAATTGCTTGAACCCGGGAGGCGGAGGTTGCAGTGAGCCGAGAGCGTGCCACTGCACTCCAGCCTGGCTCCTGGCAACAGAGTAAGACTCTGCCTCAAAAAAAAAAAAAAAAACAAAAAAAAAAACTTCTGAGACCACTGTCTTATATGTGGTCCATCACTGACGGAAACGTCGCTACATGGCATATGACTGTATTTGCGTGTAACCTACACACATTCTCCTACTTTTTTTTTTTTTTTTTTTGAGACGGAGTTTTGCTGTTGTTGCCCAGGCTGGAGTGCAATGGCGCGATCTCGGCTCACCGCAACCTCTGCCTCCTGGGTTCAAGCAATTCTCCGGCCTCAGCCTCCCGAGTAGCTGGGACTACAGGCATGCACCATCATGCTCAGCTAATTTTTGTATTTTTAGTAGAGACGGGGTTTCACCATGTTGACCAGGATGGTCTCGATCTCTTGACCTCGTGATCCACCCGCCTCGGCCTCCCAAAGTGCTGGGATTACAGGCTTGAGCCACCGCGCCCGGCCCCCTTATTTTTTTTTTTTTGACATGGAGTTTCAGTCTAGTTGCACAGGCTGGAGTGCAATGGCATGACCTTGGCTCACTGTAACCTCTGCCTCTTGGGTTCAAATGATTCTCCTGCTTCAGCCTCCTGAGTAGATATGATTACAGGTGCACACCACCATGCCCAGTTAATTTTGTATTTTTAGTGGAGATGGGGTTTCTCCATGTTGGTCAGGCTGATCTTGAACTCCTAATTTCACGTGTCCACCCACCTCTGCCTCCTAAAGTGCTGGGATTACAGGCGTGAGCCACAGCAGCAGGCCTTTTTTTTTTTTTTTTTTCTTCAGCGATACAGGGTCTCACATGGCATAATCATGGCTCACTGCAGCCTCAAAATCCTGGGCTTAAGTGATCCTCCCACCTCCCAGGTAGCTGGGACCACAGGTGTGTGCCACCATGCCCGGCTGATTTTTTTTTTCCATAAAGATGGGGTGGTGGTCTCATCATTTTGCTTAGGTAGGTCTTCAACTCCCTGCCTCGACCAATCCTGTCACCTTGGCCTCCGAAAGTGCTGGAATTATAGACGTGAGCCACTGCACTCGACCACCTCCTATATACTTTAGACTACTTATACCACCATACAATGTAATGTCATGTACATAGTTGTTCTGCGTGTTTGTCTTTTTTTGAGACGGTTGTTTCTGTCTTGTTGCCCAGGCTGGAGTGCAAATGGCGGCATCTCGAATCACTGAAACCTCTGCGTCCTCGGTTCAAGCGATTCTCCTTCCTCAGCCTCGAGAGTAGCTGGGATTACAGGTGTTCACCACCACGCCCTGCTAATTTTTGTATTTTTAGTTGGGAACGTGTTTGACCTTCTTGGCCAGGCTAGTCTTGAAATCCTGACCTCAGGTGATCTGCCCGGCTTGGCCTCCCAAACTGCTGGGATTACAGGCGTGAACCACCGCACCCGGCCCTCGTGTGGATTTTCATGGGACTCTGAGAGGCGTCTTGAATCCATTTTGGAATAAGACAGGTTATGAGCATGGGGCCTATTCATGAGCTGTCTTGGTGTCCCAGGCCGGGACTTGGGACCTCGGTCCTCCCTGGGAAGCACAAAGATGGCGGGGGACGAGGAGCCGGGGGAGCATTTAGAAGCTCTTGTGCACAGGGAAACCCTGTCTCTACAAAAAATAATTAGCGGGGCCTGGTGGTGCATGCCTGTGGTCCCAGTTACTCCGCAGGCTGAGGTGGGAGGATCGCTTGAGCCCAGGAGGTAGAGGCTGCAGTGAGTCACGATCATGCCACTGCACTCAATCCTGGACAAGAGCAAGACCTTGTCTCGAAAGAGGACCCCAGGCCGGGCACGGTGGCTCACGCCTGTAATCCCTGCACTTTGGGAGGCTAATGTGGGCGGATCACCTTAGGTCAGGAGTTCGAGATCAGACCAGCCTGGCCAACATGGCTAAACCCCGACTCTATTATAAATACAAAAATTAGCCAGGAATGGTGGCGGGCGCCTATAATCCCAGCTACTCGGGAGGCCGAGACGGGAGAATTTCCTGAACCCTGGAGACGGAGGTTGCAGTGAGTCAAGATTGCGCCACTGCACTCCAGCCTGGGAGACCACAGGGAAACTCCTTCTCAAACAAAACAAAATCCTTAAGTTCTTTTCTAAATCCTTTTCGCAGTTGTTCTGGCGATAGGTCACAGATAGGGAAATTCAGTGACCCCTCGCCTTGACCTCGCTTCCAGTACAGCCACGTCTTTCGAGGAAAGAGGGCAAGACAGCAGAGCCCCTGATAAAATATCGCCGTCGACAATGCGGGTTTCGATCTTGCTACCACTCACATGCTAAGCGAACGCTTGGCGGCTTAGGCTAACTCCGAGGTCTGGCTTAGCTTCCGCAGCCGTCGCGCATTGTGGTTCACGTCATCACCGGTGTCCCCGTCGCCCCCGCCCCGTCCGGCCAGCTCACCACCCCATTGGCTCCCTCGCGGCTCCGGCTCCACGGCCATGATTGGCTTGGCTCCATTTAGTTTTAAAAAGCATTGGCCACTCGGATTGGTGGTCTGAAGAGTCCGTCAAGTGGAGGCCCTGCTGTTGCTACAGCGTAGGGGGACCCAGCCAGGTTTCTCTCGGTTTCTGATTTGTTTCTCCGGCTCCGGGGTCCTAGAGGTTCCGGATCCGTCAAGTCCATGGGAAAAGAATGCGCCCCTCGAGCTTGACTGACGAGGCTTGCGAGCCAATCGGAATGGATTCGAGGGAGCCGCTAGGCGATCCAATAAGTGGTAGGGGGCGGGAGAGAGGGGCCAATGAGCCTGGAGCTGGGGGCGGGGACAGGGCTGCGATTGGCTGCGAGGCGGCCAGAGGGAGGGCGGGGGGAACTCAAGGCCTGCTTGATACGTCCGCCATTTTGGGCGCTTCGCTGATGGTGTCGGTGAGCGCGTTTCCCGCCTGAGCGCAACTAGCGGCGGGTCGTGGGCACCTCCAGGTAATAGGGGTGGGGGAGGCGGCGGAGCAGGCCGTGGCACTGGGTGCGCGTGGCTCGCGGGCAGGCGCGGGGCCGCTCCTCCTGGGCCTCGGCAGCGCCGGGAGGGAGAGTCCCGGCCCCTCTCCCCTCCCCCTCCGGAATTCGCCGCTCCGCGGGCCCGGGAGGCGCGGCGCCGAGTCCTTCCCGGCCGCTCCCCGCCCGCTCCTGTCAGCCCGGGGCCCCGCCGGGCCAGGCGCCGGGGACGGGACGCTACCGAGGCGGCGAACTTTGCGCCGCGTTCATGTTCGCGGCCTTACGCGGCGAGCTGGCGGACCGGCGAGGCGCGCCCCTAACCCAGCTCTGGCTCCAGCCTTCCCGCCCGCCCGCTGCGTCGCCCACCGCCCGGCCCGCGTCCGGTTTCCGCTCTCGCTGGGCACCCCGGCCCCGGGCTCCCAGACAACTCCTCCCGGGGGCCGTGGGGAGCGCGTCAAGTTGAGGCAGCAACTCGCCGTCAAGAGTCGCGAAGGCTATTGTTGGACTCCGCTCTCCGGGAAACAAGTTTTGTGGGTTTCTGTTCATTCGTCGCAGAGTCATCGGGATCCACACCAGCCAGTTCCGAGGCTCCCAGTGCCCTTCCCGGTGGCTTTTTAACTCCAGTGCGGTCGCTGGGATGTAGACAGTCTCGAATGCCTCCCTGGTGTATTTGAGCCGGGGGGTGGTCCTTCTTGTGACTTGAAGTCCCTCCCTCTTAAAGAAGCCCATTCACTGTTAACTTGGAGGTTTTTCCTGTTGCGGTCCCGCTGGCTGTGATCACAATTTGGACTTTATTGTAGGTGAACGGGATGGGTCTTTGGATGCACCTCCGTTGCCCTGACGTTTCAACCGCATGACTTAATGTCAGTTTCCTGGTACTTAACATTTTCTCTGTGGGGCTTTGGGTCTGTTTTGTTATTATGGGAGGGGGTGCTTGATAGGCGTTCCCTTTCATCCTCGCGGCACTTGTTGACAGGGTGGTGTCCTACTTTATGAATGAGACGTTTATTTTGATTTTGTCCTCAAGGTCATGTTGCAGATAGGCTTCAAGGGGGAAAGGCACTCCAGATTTCCAACCATCGAAATGTGCCTCAAGTAGCAAGGGTGTAAGACGCAGTTAGTGGTGGTAGTTGGGTTTTCCTCACTGGAGTGGAGTCAAGTCTTGGCCTGACCACGTTTTAGCTCTGTGACCTTGGACAAGTTACCCAGCCTTTCTTTTTATTTTTTTTCCTCTGTTGTATGGGAATAATAATAAGTGTCTCAGCCATAAGTTTGTCAGGACAGATGCCTTAATACATGTAAAGCAGCTAGAACCGTGCCTGGGCACACAGAATCGTCTCTGGCTGATTAGTAGTTAGGCTAATTAATGGCTATTATTATTAATTTAAATTTGGTTTTTAAATGTTTAGGTACTGTTGGGAAGTCAGATGAGCGTTTAAGCCTTGACTCGTGGTAACTGTCTTTAGAATTGGGCTGGACCGGGTGCAGTGGCTGACGCCTGTAATCCCAGCACTTTGGGCGGCGGAGGCAGATCACGAGGTCAAGGGATGGAGACCATCCTGGCCAACATGATGAGACCTCGTCTCTACTAAAAATAGAAAAATTAGCTGGGTGTGGTGCCGTGCACCTGTAGTCTAAGCTACTCGGGAGGCTGAGGCAGGAGAATCGTTTGAACCGGGGAGGCGGAGGTTGCAGTGAGCCAAGATCACGCCACTGCACTCCAGCCTGGGTGACAGAGCGAGACTCGGTCTCCAAAAAAAAAAAAAAAAAAAAGAGGGGGGTTCAGTTGGGCTGAAAAAGTAAACTGGAAGTTCTTACAATTTTTTCGGGACAGGGGTTTTGAACATTCATTCCTTAAGTCATTAATTACTGGAGTAGTAGCACCTGAGAATGTTTAAAGTGGTGGTTAAATACAGAAAAGCCCATCACAAGCTTAAGTTGGCCTCTGTTCCTCATGTGCTTTTGCATATTAGTTTCTGGGTGACCGGCCCCCAAATGAGTAATAATCAGGTTTTCTCAGTGTGCTTCTGGTTGTTACTGAAGGCTGTAAGGGTACTGTGAATTGCAGTATTCTTCAGCAGAGATAGTTTGGGAAATAGCTGTTATCCTGGAGGGATGCTTTGGAAGGTATTCTCCATTTCAGCCTGTCTGGTCAAGGAGTCTGGAACATTTAACAAAATGCAATCCACTCAGTCAGAAATAAACTCACAGTCCCTTAACACTTGCCTAGTGCTCTTCTCCATGGTACTCAAAACCGTGCGTGCCCTTCCGCTGGTATTGCTGTGTTTACTTGGGATTTGGTTTGCTGTATTGAGGATAAATGTGTTTTGATGGACTCAGTCTTAAGTAGAGATGAGTGTCTTGCTGGTGGAGCTTATTCAGGGATAGGAAGAAGATTGTTTTGGGTTTAGAAGTCTAGCTTTTGTGTAAAGTATAGCAAAGCAAAGTAAAAAAAGTGCTAGTTTCAGTGAGCTAATTGAGAATTTGAGAATCAGATGGTAGATGAGCAGAAAACGAATAGAAGTAACATTAACAGCATGAGGTTGCTTAGCTTTGTAAGATAATGCTTTGGCCAGGCACGGTGGCTCACGCCTGTTATCCTATCCTATCACTTTGGGAGGTCAAGGTGGGCAGGTCACCTAAAGTCAGGAGCTAGAGACCAGCCAAGCCAACATGGTGAAACAGTGTCTCTACTTAAAATACAAAAATTAGCTGGGCATTGTGGTCCGCGGCTGTAATCCCAGCTATTCGGGAGGCTGAGGCAGGAGAATCGCTTGAACCTGGGAGACGGAGGTTGCGGTAAGCCCAGATCGCACCACTGTACTCCAGCCTGGGAGACAGAGCGAGACTCCATCTCAAAAAAAAAAAGAAAGATTTTGCATCTGTTTGGTACGGAGATAGTGTGCTTATTACAAATAAATGTCTCCCTAAAACCAGTGTCACTTCGGTATTCACTTTGTTTCTATGATAATTTTCATCTTCTAGTTCTGTATTTTCAGTATTTGAGAGACAGCCAGTGTGCTGTGTGTGTGTGTGTGTGTGTGTGTGTGTTTGTGTGTGTGTGTGTTGGTCTAAAATTATACAGTATTTTACTACATAAGGATAAATGATAGTGAAAATAAAGCTCCTCTATGTGCTCAACTAAAACTGAGCATTGACTTGGTCCTCAGAAGTCATGATCTGCACCCCAGTGTGGGCTGAGTAGTGTTAGCTACTTTTTCTAAGGCTGTACTGAAGAAAAAACCTGGCCTCTTGGCTTAAACACTCTCATATTTCTTTCCTTTCTTAACTTTAAATAATTGTTTTTGGTTTACTCTACCTCAGGGGTTCTGAATTGGAGTGATTTCCCCCCACCCCCCGCCCAGAAACATATTTCAGTGTCTGGACACATTTTTGCTGTCACACCACTGGGAGTGGGCAGTGTGCTTCTAGAGGGTAGAGACCAAGGATGCTGCTAAATCCTACAGTGTCCCGCATGGCCGCCTCGTCCGCCAGCAAAATTATCCATTTCCAAATAGCAGCACTGCTGAGGTTGAGGAATCTTGCGCTAGATAGATGTGACTGGCCTGCATTAGAATAATTACAGATTCTTCAAGACCATGGTTGTGGGACTCCACCTCTAGAAGTTTGTGGTGGGATTGAGAATATTTTTTTGAAAGGCTTCCCAAACAATACTGAAGTGCAGCTGGATTTTGGAACCACTGTTCTAGACCACAGGTTTACAGACTATTTGTGAGTTAAGGTTTCCTTTGGGTGATCTGTGAACTTGCTCTTTGCAGTACCTAGATCTTGACTTGGAGATTATTTAATAGTGGGGAAAGATGGTATACTTACTTACACCATTTTTCAGGTGCTTGAAGACTCAACTTCAGAAGCACTGTTAAATAAATTCGATTTCATAAAACATCTTAGGAAATTTGTTTTCTTAACCTCATGAAAATACATTACCGTATTGTGCTGTGAAACTCAAAAAAATTCTTAGGTATTTAGAGTTTGCTTCTGTGCTGAATCGTCTTGCACTACTGTAATCTTTGAGTTTTGTGTCTCTTGCCCTCTTCTTGTCAGTCAGTGGTCAGGTCTGTTCTTAGATGCCACTTCCGGGTTTTTAAAAAGTATGTTTTGTTTTTGTTTTTTAGTCAGTCTTACTGTGTTGCCCAGGCTGGAGTGCAGTGGTGTGATCTTGGCTTACTGCAGCCTCCACCTCCTGGGTTCAAGCGATTCTCCTGCCTCAGCCTCCTGAGTAGCTGGGACTACGTGTATGTGTGCCACCACGCCAGCTAATTTTTGTATTTTTAGTAGATACCGGATTTCACCATGTTGGCCAGGCTGGTCTGAACTCCTGACCTCGATTGATCTGCCTGCCTCAGCCACCCAAAGGACTAGGATTACAGAAGTGAGCCATACTGTGCCCAGCTTTTTTGTTTTGTTTTAATAAAGACCTATTCTCAGAGAATTAGCCCTGGATCACATTACCATTTCTGCCCTTTGAGGGCAGGAGACAGCCATATGGTATGCTCAACCTTTTAACACAGTGATCCTGCCCACTAGTAAGTTGGACTCTTCTGTGCCCTAGACTCTGATCCTAATGGGGAAGTGTTCTTTTCTCCTGCGGAGATGAGATGCAGTAGTAGAGAGAAGTGCAGGTCTTTATTGCTCATCTTAAAATTTAGGTTATCTAGTTTACTGAATGGAAAAATGTTAGGAAAACTACAAATTTTTAGCAACTAGATGTTAATATCTGGATTTACAAAAGATCATGGAGGCATTTTCTTATTCATCCTGAAATTTGGCCTTTGGCTATGTTGAGAACTACCAGCGACCCCATCTACTAATAATATTCATTTATTTGATCAGCAAATATATTAATTGAGTCCTTACTGTGCTAGGAACTGTATTAGGGAGTCACTGATGAACAGGTGCTTAAGGACCTGCAGTCTAGAGGGAGAGGCAAGCAATGGCAAGAGATAGCAAAGCTGTTCAGAATTGTA